TCCTCTCCTCTATCCCTCTTCTATCCGCCTCCCACTCTCTCCCTATTTATTTCAAAACCCCCTTCCCCTCCCCCTTTTCTGATGAAGGGTCTAGGCCCGAAACGTCAGCCTCTCTGCTCCTATGATGCTGCTTGGCCTGCTGTGTTCATCCAGCCCTGCACCTTGTTGTCTCCCACTATAAATGACTGTTTGGCTACAGCTGGAATAAACAGGAATGGAGGCAGGCACGGGCAGCTCCATAAAGCTAGAGAACAAAAGCAGGTTTTGGAGGTGAATGGTTAGGTCAACAATGTCAAAGTTTACAGACTGATCAACAGAATAAGGAATGCTAGTTTACTATTCTCTTTGGCTGATCATATCATTTCTGACTTTAAGGATCTTTTCAGTCCTAAAGTATGAGCAGATCCTGATTGGATTGTTCAACAATGCTCCCTCCAGGATTAAACATGAAGAATGGTTAAAATAGAACAGTGCACATATCCATAAAATTCAGCAAAGAGGAAATTCTTCAGCAGAGAGGAAGATAGCCTAGCAGAAAAGAAAAAATCTTCACAGGACTTTCTATGTTAGAAAATGCAATTTTAATTAGTTCATTTAGTATCAAAATTAACTGAACAAAGTTAAATTCAGGTTTGTTCCCACAGTTTCCGTACCTTTAGAAAATTCAGGCAAAGGTGTTCCTTCCAGCTTTTCCACATCAGTGTGAACCAATGGAATTGTATTATCATCATACACCAGAGTTTCCCTGTGAATTTGAGATTTGAAACAAAAAAACAAATTTCAGTAACTTGAAGAAAAATAAAGTTACTAGTATCAATCATTTGAAGCTTGAGTTTGTATGAACAGTGAAAAGAAACCTGGGATAAAAAAGGTCCAGCAGCTTGTCGACAGTCAGATATATTGCAACCTTGTGCATAATTTTCCTAATTCCTAATCATAAAACCTCCTAAGAGAGGTAGGAACAGACAAAAAAAAAATCATGAGACTAATTTGTGTGTCGGCCATGGCCCAGTTGGTAGCACTCTCCACTGAGTCAGAAGGTGGAAATTCAAGTTTCACCCCAGGACTTGAGCACTAATGTTCAAGGTTCGAAGCTGACATCCTGAGTGCAGCATTTACAGGGTAGTGCACTGATAGACGCATGTCTTTCAGACAAAACATTAAATGTGAGGTGCTGTCCGTCAGCTAAGGTGGATGCAAAACATACTGTAGCACTATTTCAAAGAAAAGCAAGCGAGTAATTCCCAGTGTCATATAAACACACAAATTAGGAGCAGGAATTGGCCACTCAGCCCCTCAAGCCTGCTCTGCCATTCAATAAGATAATGGCTACTCTAATAGTAACCTCAAGAATCTATCTACCTTTGTCTTAAAAACATTCAAGGACTCTGCTTCCAACATCTTTTCAAGAAGAGAGTTCCAAAGATTTATGACTCAGAGAAGAAGTTTCACTTAATCTCTGTTTTGAATCAGTGACCCTGGATCCTCCCATTAGATGACACATCGTCTCCACATCTACCCTGTTAATACCTCTCAGGATCTTATGTTTCAATCAAGTCACCTCTTAAACTCTGCACTCCAGTGGATACAAACCTAGCCTGTTAACCTTTCTTGTAAAAGAAGTCTCTCATTCCAGGTATTACACAGGTAAACCTCCTCTGATCTAGTTCCAACACATTTATATCCTTCCTTAAATAAAGCTGACCAACACTATGCATAGTATTACAGATGTTTTCTGACTAGTGCCTTGGATGTAACTTTCCTACTTGTGCATTCAATTCTGCTTGCAATAAATTAAATATTTCTCTTAGATTTCCTAATTAATTCCTGCACCAGCATACTAGTCTTTTGCGATTCATGCACAAAGACACACAGATCCCTCTGTATCTTAAAGCTCTCCAATCCCTTACCACTTAAATGTCATGCTCCTTTTTTATTCTTCCTGCCAAAGTGGACAATTTCACATTTTCCCACATTATAGTCCAGATGCCAGATGTTTGTCCAATACTTTGACATATGTTTTTTAAGAATATAGAACATAGAACAGTACAGCTCAGTACAGGCCCTTCGGCCCACGATGTTGTGCCAATTATCCTACTAAGATCAATCTACCCTGCATATCCTACATTTTACTATCCTCCATGTGCCTATCCAAGAGTCGTTTAAAAGTCTCTAAAGTATTTGTGGCCTCTTGTTCTCTTCTCAACTTATTTTCCTATGTTTCTTTGTGTTGTCAGCAAATTTGGCAACCATAACCTCTGCCCTGTCACCTAAGTAATTATTTAAATTGCAAACAGTTGAGCTCCCAGCACTGATCCCTGTGGCACACTACTCATTACACCGTGCCAACCTGAAAAAATCCATTTATCCTACTTTTGCACTTAGTTAGCCAGTCAACCTTATAACCATGTTAATATGCAACCATGAGCTTTTTCTTTGCGCAAGAACCTTTGATATGATACTTTATCAAGTGCCTTCTGGAAATCCAAGTACAGTATATCCACCAGTTCCTCTTTATCCACAGCATAAGTAACCTTCCCAATTAACTCCAATAAATTGGTCAAACATGATGTTCCTTCACAAAAATCACACTGTCTCTGCCCTGATTACACTGAAATTATCCAAGTGCCTGCTATATTAATGGGATTGGGAGTATGGATAGAGAACAAGGAAGCAGCGTGGATCCTGCAGCTGCAACTAGGATTGCAGGCTTAGTTAGAGATTTATTATAGCTTTTTTATTACAGTTATTAGTCATTATATTTTACTAATAAGATTTTTATTAATTTTGATTCATTAACATCCAATATAACCAAAAAATCAAACAAAAACGTCATGAACCTTTTTCAAACATACTTTTTTAAACAAGCTTTTCAGGGTCTACAGTGAATGGCTGAGGATTTTTTTATTCTAAGTTCAGGAGTTAAAAAAAGGCTATATTTTAGAGGGTTTTATTTTTAAATTGTTTAAAAATAAGGAGTTGTGTTTTCATTTCAGGATGTCTGACGTGGTCGACTCTGCAGATTTTTTTTCTTCAAGTAATTTATTGAAGAGGAGTATTTTTTATTCAGTTAAATAAAATCAACCACTTAGCTGGTTAAGTTTTATATGTTTGATATAAGTATTTTTAATTTTTTCCATTTTAACATTATTTTCTGGAGGTAATGAAAGATAGTTTATTTTAATAATGAGGTGTTATTGAAAGTTCCTTTTTCAGGCTTAATATTATTAAGGCCATATATAAGGTACAGAGTGAAATGGCTAGTAGATTTAGAAAAGTTATTACACAGCAGGATCAGTCAGATAGATGGGTCACTGTCGAGAAAGGTAAGATAGTAGTTCAAAAGTCTGTGGTGGCTAATCCTCTTATCAACGAGATATTCAGTTTTTGGAACTGTAGAAGGGGACAGTCTCTCCGAGGAAAATAGAAAGGATAGTCAGTTACTGGGCACTTGGAACGATTCTTCTGTGTGGCAGCATTTAACAAGATTTAATGGAATTATTGAGAGAGGAATCTCTCCTATCAGGGGCGTAGACAGGAGTTTTTGTGGCAATGGGTGTGAAGTTAGAATGGTTTGTTGCTTTCCTGGTGCTAGGATTAAGGACGTCTCTAAACGTTTCAAGCATATTGTTAAGGTGAGATTGAGAAGCCAGAAATTATTGTACACATTGGTAGGAATGACAATTCTTGAGAAGAGATTAAAGCAGTACAGTGAATTTAAGAGCGGCACGGTGGCTCAGTAGTTAGCACTGTTGCCTCACAGCGCTGGGGACCTGGGTTCGATTCCAACCTCGGGGGACTGTCTGTGTGGAGTTTGCACATTCTATCCATGTCTGTGTGGGTTTCTGCTGGGTGCTCCGGTTTCCTCCCACAGACCAAAGATATGCAGACTAGGTGGATTGGCCATGCTAAATTGCCTATAGGGGTCAAGATGTGTCCATTAGGTGTGTTAGCCATGGGAAATGCAGGGTTACCAGGAAAGGGTTGGGTATGGGTCTGGGCGTGATGCTCTTCAGAGGGTCGGTGTGGAGTTGTTGGGCTGAAGGGCCTGTTACCACACTGTAGGGTTTCTATGATTCTATGATGATTTCTATGAAGAGATTAGGTAGAAGATTTAAAAAAAACCTTAAAAGTAGTAATTTCTGGTTTACTCCCAATGGCAAAAGGAACAAAAGTTAAAAAAGATAAATCACTGGCTGAAGAGCTGGTGTATTGTTCAGGGATTCAGGTTTTTGGACAATTGGAATGTCTTTTGAGATAGAAAAGACCTGTTCAAAAAGGATAGGTCTAACTTAAAGTGAAAAGGGACCAATATCTTAGCAGAGAGATTTGCTCATTCCATTAAGGAAGATTTTATACTGATAGAGAGGAGGAGTGGAGGAATTTGAATAGCAGTGTAAACAGAAGGATTGAAGGGGAAAGTTCTAAATGTGAGGAGAGCATGTCAATTAGAAGAGAAAGCCAAGAGAGTCAGCGTATGTAGCAACTCTGAAGAACTAAATTATATTTATTTCATCACAAGGGATCTTACAGGTAAGGCTGTTGAACTCAGGGCATGTTTAAGAACATGGGATTGGGACATCATAGCTATTACAGAAACTTGGCTGAGAGATGGACAAGACTGGCAGCTCAATGTTCCAGGTTTTAGATGCTATAGGAAGGATAGAAAAGGAAACAAGGAGGTGGGGTGAATGACGTTTTTGATTAAGGAAAGCATCACTGCTGTAACTAGGGAAGATATTTCTGAAAAATCGTTCAATGAAAATATATGGGTAGAAATTACAAATAGGAAAGATCACTTTGAATGGATTGTACTTTAGGCCCCCCAACAGTAAAAGGGAAATTGACAAACAAATACGTAGGGAGATCTCAAGATATGTGTAAGCATAATAAGGTTGTAATAATGGGGGATTTTAATTTTCCAAACATTGACTGGGGCTACCATGGGTTAAAGGATTGGATAGTGAAGAATTTGTCAAAAGTGTTCAAGAAAATTTTCTTTATCAATATGTGGATGCTTCTACTAGAAAGGAGCAAAACTAGACCTTCTTTTGGGCAATAAGACAGGGCAGGTAACTGAAGTAAAAGTAGGGGAACACTTTGGGTCTAGCAATTATAATTCTATTACTTTCAAAATAGTTATGGAAAAGGATAAGCTT